CCAATGTCAGGGCAATAAATTCTTAAGCTATAGCAAGACTCAAAGACAATCTACTAAGTTACAAAGGAGTTGTGATTTATAGTTTCGAAGGGAGTACGCAAAACAGTGAAATTACAAGTCCTTGAAATATTGTGCAGATGGCATTGAGCCCTGGAACACTAAAGGACCTCCTTAGTGAGATAGATGTGGTTGCTCAAAAGAGTTTGGCCTCGAAATCCACACTGAAAAAACAAAGGAGATGAAGCACATGTGTTGCCTGGATTTCAGAATGTGGGGTTGGATAGGTAGCCCCTCCATTGAGTTTATCAGCACGTGATGGTTTTGGACAGGCACTGCCACTGATAATGAGGTGGGTCCAGGCTTGAAGGAGAAAAGAGCAGGCTATATTGCCTTTAACAGACTGTGCAGCTCTTTTACTGATCCCAAGCTGCACTTTTTGCAAAATCCTCCCATTTTTTGACCCCTATATTCTCTTGATGATACTATCTGGTCAGAAATCATGGAATACCAAGATATCAGAAATAACAAGTAACAGGTGACCTGAAGGTGATAGATTCATAGTGTATGTGTATAAACTGGCTGCCTGCACCTTATATTTGACTCTTGTGTTAAGAATGATATAAAAGGGGGCAGCTAGATGGCATAGGTGGATAGGGCTCCAGCTTTGGAGTCAGGAGGACCTGAATTCAAATGCGGCCTCAGACACTTGACACATACTAGCTGTGTGACCCTGGGCAAGTCACTTAACCCTGATTGCCTCACCAAAAAGCAAAAAAAAAAAGTGATGTAAAAGATGTCAAGAGGGTGTGTCATTAGTGAATCGTATCATATATTCTGGAGAAAAAATTGGAATGATGCTAGGAGAAAGACTAAATGTCCACTTGACCCTTTGGCTCAGAGATCTCACTGGCAAGCACAAGAAGATCAAAGGTAGGAGGAAAGGCCCCATAATCAACAAAATATTCATAGCAGCACTTTTTTCTATCGGCAAAGAAGCGGAAACAAAGGAAAGCCCATAATTGGGGAATAGTTAAAAAGACTGGTATGGGAATATGCTGTGTCATAATAAAGGGTGAATATGAAAAAATGCAAAGAAGAATAGAAGATTTATTTAAACTGATACAAAGTGAAGAAAGCAGAGCAGGAAAATAATATACTCAGTACATATGGAAAGAACACCCAAAGAAACTCATAAAATGTAACATGTAATGATAGTGGCCAAGCATGTTCCTGAAGTAGAGATATGAAAATACATGTCTTTTTCTGTGCAGATGGGATGTAATTATAGGTATGGAACCCTGAATATACTGTCAGATTTGGTTTATGTATTGGTTAGTTTTGCAAAAACTGCTTTTCTCCCCCTCTTTTTTATATTTTGTTATAAGGTATGGCTCTGGGTAAGGAAGGAAAGAAGGGATATAATAGGAAATTAAGGGAATGTAAAAACAAAATTAAGGAATTGTAAAAAGAAAGCAAAAAATATGACCAGGAAATGAGATAGGCTCATTGAGTAGACAAGGGTGAAGGATAAAAGGTGTGTAACTGAATTGCTGCCCTCATATCTACAAAGTAGTATAAGAACCAGCATTGGATAGATCTTCCTTGGAAGGTTTATGGAAAGACAGGGTAAAGAAGGAGTCTGTTCTAGGCACTGGAGACCTTTTCAGCAGAGCACCTGCTCTGGACTATTACCTTAACTTGCACTCACTATCTACTGCTTTCCCTGACTTCCAGTAAATCAAAAGTCTCTTCTAGAGGAAGCCTTTATCAAGTTCTCTTCCTTCTAGTGCCCTCTCTCTGTTAATTATTTCTTATTTATCCTATTTATAGCATGTTTGTACATTTTTTGCTTACTAAATTAAAGTAGGTACTTAATAAGTGTTTATTGTTTAACAATCACCACATCTGACTAAATCAGCTATTAAAACCCTCTAGGACTGGCCAGTTTTCGGTTAGCAAATCTCTAGTTGCCCCTCTAATTCCATCAGAGAAAGGTGCTCACACTTCATAAAAGATAAAAGCATCCTTATATTTCAATAACAGCAATACCTAGTTAATTATCTGCCCCTCTACTTTCTGCAATTACATCATGGAGGGGGAAATAAATGTTTGCCACCCCTTACATAAGCTAAAGTAGGGGGGGCTAAATAATTCAGCATGTAACCCTGGGTGGTAACGGTAGTAATAGAAAAGAGAGAAGAAATGGGCCAAGATTAGTTTAGTTTGGCTAGACCTACAAGGCTTGGAGGGAAGTAATTTGGGATAAGGCCGTGCAGGTGGGTTGGAGCCAGATTATGAACTCCATAAAGGACTTTGGCCTGTAAGATAAGAAAGGGAGACAGTTCATCTAATTTTGTTTTTCTCCACCTCCCTAGTCTGGTATAATATATCTTGAAGCAGCTGTTTGTCAGTGGGAAAAATATTGGATTTAGAGTCAGAAGACTTTAGGATTGAGCAAGTCTCTTCTCTATGAACCTCAGTCTACTCCTCTGTAAAATGAGGATAATATAAGAAAAGTATTTAGGAAAGTAGGACCTATAATTATCATCTGTTTTCTGTTTGCAACCTTTGTTTTGGCCAAAAAGAGGACCTTACTCTGTCCTAAGAAAAGAGGGGGCCTTTGAACAGTTCAGGGTATGTCCAAGTTTGCAGGGTTGTAGAAACAATTATAATGAGAGGGAATGGGAGTGGCCTTTTGTGAAGCTCAGTATAGTGGAAAGAGCTCTGAATTTAGTCAGGAGGCCTGGGTCTAAGCACTGGCTGGTTCTGCTAGTCAAATGACCATTGAAGGTCAGAACTGCATTAGACATTTGGACAAAAAAAGTCAGAGCTCAAAAACACTTTAAGAACCCCCTAGTTTACACTCCTTATTTTATAGATAGAATAAGGACATAAGCATTTTGTTCTCATGATAGAGTTGCCAAAGGCAACTTCCCTGGGAATAGTCATTGAGAATTGCTGTTTTCGCCTACTTGAAAATCTTTCAGAGAACAGTAATTTGTATATTCCAAACCAGTAATCCCAGAGGAAGATTGGAAAGAAAACTAGTCGGAGAGGGGCAGCTAGGTGGCACAGTGGATAGAGCACCATCCCTGGAGTCAGGAGGACCTGGGTTCAAATCAGACACCTGACACTTGACACTTTCTAGCTGTGTGACCCTGGGCAAGTCACTTAACCCAATTGCCTTGAAAAAAAGAAAAAACACTGGTTGGAGAATGGAAATAAGCCTGTGAAGCCCAAGACTCCGAGGCAGTGAACAGGAGGCATTACCATCACCTTCCTGGCATAGGGAGAAGGCACATTGTGGGACTCAACATGAGATGACCTGGAGTAGAAAACTGATTCCTTTGAGCAATCCAGAATGTGTAAAGGATGGGCAAGTAGGACCTGGGTATTTAAAAACAGGTTTTAAAATTGGAAAGTAATGTGTCCTTGGATGCATACAAGAACTTACTTAGCTGAGGTGCCAGGGAAATCCCTTGATGGGCCAGCTGCTTTCGACTGGTCTTCTGGAGAGGATCATGGAAATAAACAAGTACCATCTTGGTACAGAAGAGCAGCAATGTAAGGGATCATTGAAACAAAGTTGAATGATGCCATTAGAAAGAAGATCAGAACTGGCTATATAAGTTATTGACCATAGCAAGGTCAAGGAAGGGGTTGCTGGACATCTGATGAAATGGAGAAGATAATGGAGCTAAATTTGAACTGTAGAGCACTAATAAGGAGCTGTATCTGGAGGAGAATAAAGGCCTGAAAGGGGCTCTCAATCAGGGAAATACCCTAATACTACAGGTCCCTGAATGGAGGGTATCTTACTACAGGGATGTGGGAAGCATCCAGACAATCTCAGTGGGCAAGCCCTTTGAGTGTTCTTTCTTTCTTTCTCTCTCTCTCTCTCTCTCTCTCTCTCTCTCTCTCTCTCTCTCTCTCTCATCAGGGTCAAGTGACTTGCCCAGGCTCACAGAGCTAGCTAGTTAACTGTCAAGTGTCTGAGGTCGATTTGAACTCAGGTCCTCCTGACTCCAAGGCTGGAGCTCTGTCCACTCTGCCACTTACCTTACTTAATTTTTAAACAAAAGTGGTCCACATCTTGAGCCTTGGTTAGCATATCAAGTGCATATAAAGAGAAATAGTATCTACTATATAGTATACTACTAATAGTCTTGTGGGATTGCCAAGTATTCCCATATTCTCCTTGGGTGCAAGCTATGAGCCAGAAACAGGAAGCACCCAAAGTGTATCTGGGCTCTGTGCCTCTGCCTCATAAAGGGGTTACCCAAATGAGGAAACTGAAGCCCAGAGAGGAAGTGACCTGCTTGAGCTGGCACTGAGAGTTAGCAGGTAGTTGAGCTGGACTTTGAAACCAGGCCTCCAGAATTCAGATCTCCTGCTCTTTCCTTCACACTTGATTTTCCCTGTATTTGCAACTTGTTTCCCCTTGGGTAATTCACTTGACTTTCTGGGCCTTAGTTTGTGGAGGAGGCTGCTCAAGACTTGTGGAAAGAGTCTAGACTTGAGTCTGGAAGACCTGGGTGTGAATGTCATTTCAGACACTTTCCAGCTGTGGGCTACTGCAGTTAAATGAAGCCTCGGTGTCCTCGTTAAAAATAAAGACAATTACAGCACCTCCTTCACTGAGCAGCTGTGAGGTTCAAATGAGATAACGTATGTAGGAATGTATGCAAAGGGCTTTGCAAACCTTAGGTGTGTTAATGTCAGTTATATTAGAATAATATTAGGATTAATTAAGTATTCAGGCCTGTAAAATGCGGGAGTTGTACCAGATGGCCCCCACAGGCCCTGCCTGCTCTAACCCCTCGGAGAGTCCCCAGCCTGGGGGCAGTCGCCCCTCCCAGCTCTGGGCTGCCAGAGCGCCGGGGCTGGGGGAGCCCGCCCAGGGCGGGGGAGGGAGGCTGCGGAGGCGCCCGGGAGCGTGGGGAGGCGTCGTACGCATGCGCTGCCCCCTCCCGCCGCACTAGTCCTTTCCTCCCTCCTGTCGCGCCTCCAGTGTGACAGCGGCGGCTGAGGCGCCCGCAGCCTGAGCCCGCGGTGAGGGGAAGGGGGCGGTGGCTCCGCGGGGAGGAAGTGCAGCCGGAGGAGGAGGAGGAGGCCGAGGCGGCCGACGGGCACGGGCCGACGGGGGCACGCTGCGTCCTCCAGCAGAGTGAGAGCGGCGGTCCGAGCGAGGCTCCGGCCCGCGTGCGAGGACGAGCGTCTGCCCGGCGCCTGGGCCCGTGCTGCGGGTGAGGAACCGCCCCCTGCGCGCCGGGAGGAGCGGCGTGTGAGCGCCTCGGCTTCGGCCTCGGCCCCGGCCCGCCCGAGAGTGCGGAGCCGCCGCCCCTGCGGCCCGGCCCCGGCCGCGTGTGAGGGAGGCAGCCCGACCAGCGGCCCTCGCCCCCGCCATGAGCCACATCGAGATCCCGCCCGGGCTCACGGAGCTCCTGCAGGGCTACACGGTGGAGGTGCTGAGGAACCACCCCGATGACCTGGTGGACTTCGCCGTGGACTATTTCACCCGCCTCCGGGACAGCCGCAACCTCGGCGGGCAGGGCGAGGGGAAAGACAGCGACGAAGAGGAGGACGAAGACTTTGAACGTAAGAGCCCGGGCAGACGCCGTCTTGGACCCCCCGGGGCTCCGGCTCCTCCCCCTGCCCCCTCCCCCCAGCCGGGCCCGCCGTGGCAAGCCAGCCTTGTCTGCCGGCTTCCTTCAGGTCTTGGGACCCCCGCCCCCCACTGTCGTGGGAGTTTCGCTCCCCCTCTTTCTCAGCCCCACCTACCGCCCCCTCACCCGACGTTTCTCAGTTCCTCCTGGGAACCACGTTCTGGCAACGTCTTGTGCCCCCCGGAGCCCAGAGAGCCGGGTGCCCCCTGGTACCTTCGGGGGGTGGGAGAGAGCTTTCAGGCAGCCCTCGTGGTGTGAAATGCAGACCCTAAAGTGACCCGGACGCGTCTGACAGCTACGGCCTCCGTCCCCCAAGGACTGGAGCACCCGCTAGTGAGAGATGAGTGTGCCATGTGTGCTGTTTAAAATGGGGAACTCCAAAAAAGCAGACCGCCTTTTCTTATTAGAATGTCACCTTTTGTCCTCCGAGGCTTGGGGGCTACAAGAAGGGGAGTCCTCCTACCGAAGTGTTTTATCTTCAGAATGGGTAAATGAGAATAGGGAGCTCGAGCATTGGATTAATGCCCACCTTCTTAGACCAGGCCTTCAGTTGGCATACCGTGAAGAGAAAGCATATGTAATCACTGGCAAAAAAATTCCTGTCAAAAGGACCATTTTAAAGACCTGCTGGAATGTCTAGCAGTGCAGGTCCTAGCAGCTCACCATTTTGGAACTAACATCAGTGATATTTAGAAACCCTAGTGCACTTTAAGGACAATTTAAAATTTGCTGGTTTTGAACCAGACCTTAGGAACAGTTTAATTTTTTTTTAATTTATAATTTTGCTTAGCATTTTTATTTGGTTGTTTTAAGAAAGCCTTTAGAACATTTGTGGAATATTCACTTGATTTTTGCGTGTGTTCTGGTTCGGTATTAATGAGACTGCTGGGAATTATCATCATACATTGAACAGTTTTTCAAAGCTTCACATTCATATCGCAAATATACAGACCTAGGTGTTAAAACATATTTGGCTCTTAAAACCCAGAAGATTTATTTTCTTACTTTCTATGGCTCTCAAATCATGTCCCTTTTTTGACATGCCAATTAGGAACTAAAACATTGTCTAAATGTATGAATTAAAATTCTAGAATTTCAATCTCTTCTTTGGTTTTATTTTGAGATAATTAGGCAGTTGAGTAGCAAAAGCTTGTGCATTCTTTTGTTTACATTTCTATCACGGAACTGACTTGATTTGTTGCAGTTTGAGAAATCTGGTACTGTGATGAGTTTTTTTTTTTATTAACAACCACATGAATTTATATGTAGGAATTTCTCTTAATAATATTTGGCTAATGTTTAACAAACTTGTTTAGTGCCTATATTGGAAGAAAGGAGAAAAGCAACATTATAATTTAAGATGCATCCTGTTAAAATTGTCAAAAAGAAATTAAGTTTCCTAAATTGCTTCAGAATATTTTATGGAGAAGGTAGTATGGCTTACGTTGAGAACAGCTTTCAGGAAGGACATGTTTTCAAGGGTACAGTTATCGACCTCTGTGGAGCTAATATTTTTAGGCATTTTTATAGTAGTGGGAAGGGCACTGTATTTGGAGTTAGAGAAGTTGGGACAACTTAAAAGTTATTGGTCAAGTTACTTCTCTCTTGGCCTGTTTTTCACGTATAAAATGAGAACATGGTCTAGATAATTTCTGTCTAAGGTCCTATACCTGTTCTAAATCCTATGAAGCTATGAATTGCAAAGGTTTTAAGAAAAATGTCTACTGATGTGCTAAGCACATGGACTAAAGTTGCCAGCTGGGTACTTGTTACTGATGAGATTCAATTTGATAGACACATACGTTTACATTTATGTTATGAAAGTCTGAAAAAAAAAGTCTGTGTATCAGGAGAATTTTAACTTAACCAAGAAATTTTGCAAGGTGTTTTTCAGAAGAGTCCCTGGAATCAGGAGTTGGCTTATTCCAATTCTGGCTGTACCATTTGCTTGGTGTGTGGCCTTGGACAAGTTGTCAGACCTGTTCTTATTTCAAGCTCCTTTATCTGTAAAATGGGAAGAGCTCTTTTTGAGCCTCAAAGCACTTTAGGGTTGTTAAAATTTTTGTTACTATCATTTTAAGGATATTTTATTGATCCCTCTTGTTTTTATGTACAAGTTATTTCCATGTGATCCTCCAGTTCGCCACACCCAAATTAGCCTTCCCTTGTAACAAAACCAAAACAAAATAAACAAACAAAAGCACACAAAACCCTGTTAAGCAAAGCCAGCCAACCCAGTGACCTCATCTGGATAGTGTATGTAATATTTCACACCTTTAGTTGTCCACCTCTCTACTGAAAGGAAAAAGGACGCTTCATCTCTTCTCAGGGTCCTAGATTAGTCATGGATTTGTTTTAGTGTTATTTTGATTTACATTACTGTGGTCATATTGTTCTCCTGGTTCTGCTTTCTTCATTTGATATCATTTTAGAGAAATACTGGAGGACTAAATTCCTTATATTAATTTACTTATGGTACCAGTAATATTCTGTTACATTCATATATTATAATTTGTTCAGTTTCCCATTTGGTACATACACATTTTCCATTCTTTTTTTTTAATTAAAAAATTTTTCTCTTCTGTTTTGAACTTTACAAACATGAATGTTTTCATATACAAAGAAAAACAGAAAAGGAGGATTGCAAATGAAACCATGAACCCCTGCCATGTATAGCTTTTTCCCTTTCAAATTATACTATAAATTTAACAGGTTAATTTCAGAGTGCTCTGTGACCCTCTGTACACTGTAATTTTTTTTTTTTGGCTAGGCAGTGGGGTTAAGTGACTAGCTTAGGGTCGCACAGCTAGTAAGTGTCAAGTGTCTGAGGCCAGATTTGAACTCAGGTCCTTCAGACTCCAGGGCGGGTGTTCTATCCACTGTGCCACTTAGCTTCCCCGTAACTTTTTTTTAAACCCAAAACAAACCCAGCAACAACAACTTGATTTTCCGAGTTTATCTTACTAAAAAAGTTAGTAGTTTCTTAGTTATAAAACCAATGAACATTGTTCTTGAATTTATTTTAAATATGTTTTATTTAGGAAAAGCTCAGTGTTTAATTTGCCCTTATCAGAATGAAGTTGTATTACTTAATATCAGAAATATTAATGCTTTATGTATCAAGGCTTTGCATGAAGCAATTGTTGACCAATTGGCAGATCTATTAACAAAATAGGAAAATATAAGTAACCAAGAAAAGAATTTAAAAACTTTATCATTTAACTTATTTTATTTACTTTTTTTAAACATTTAAAAAATGATTTTAGTGTCTTAAACATAGTATCTTTTGTTCTTGGAATAAGGAAGATCTCAGTTCAAATTAACTTCCCTCACCTTCAGTTTGCTCATCTGTAAAATGGGAATAATAATAGCGTCTATCTTATAGTATTGTTGTGAGAATCAAATGAGATAACATTGGTTAACCCAGTATCTTTTGTTTAACTATATTAACAAATCACTTTAAATTCATCTTTGTAACACTTGTGAAATGGTGTGTAACTTGAATCTTCTGTATCCTTATTGTTAGTTAACCTCTTTGATCAGCTTTTCTTGGACCCCATTCATGTAGGACACTGTCATAAGGACATGAGAGTTAACCCAGAATGAATTCTGTCTTTTTGGGGATTGAATGGATCATTGTTTTAAAGATTATCTATTAATAATTGTATTTAATAATCTGGTATGATCATTTAATTTCTTTACTGACTGTGAAAACTAGACAAGTGGCAAGCTGATTTAGGGCCCATGCTTTGATTGCAAAATATCTTTACCACAGAAAACATTCTGTGTTTTTTACCTCTTTGTATGCTTATTTATGTAGCTATGAAATTAAACTTACATTTGATTTTAACTTAAATCCCTTACTACTTGATTGACCTTAATAAAGTGATTATATATTTTACTTTTTTTTAAGGTTGGAAAGTAGTTGTTAATGCCTAGAAGATGACAGTGGAGTTTGTTAGATACACAGATCCAGAACAAAAAAGTAAAAATTGAAATATAAAACTCTTAGAGGAGAGGGCGGAAAATATTTGTGAAATATGTTCTTTCTTAATTGCTCTTTGGAAATAAATATATGTATATGGCACACAGTCTTTGGACAGGAAATTTTGTGTTTCTAATTGAATAAATATATGAGTATATAAAAGGAAACATTCACTGTAATATATCAATCTTTGCATCATGCTTTGTGCCACAAAGTTGCTAATTTTCCTGGAGATTAATTATTGAGAGGTTAACGATGGTTAGGTATTATTGGTATTCAGGGTAAAATTTATTATTTTATAACACTATATACCACTACATACTGTAGTATAAAGTAAAAAGAGAAGTAGACTTGGAGTTAAATCCCATGTCTGCCGCTTACTACCTGTCTGACCCTGAGCAAATTTCTTTCCCTTTCTGGGACTCAGTTTCCACATCTGTAACATGAGAATGAACTATGTTATATCTGAGGTCCCTTCTAGCTCTAGCTTGCATGAAACCCTTTGTATAAATCATGCTCACCACAATGTCGTCATTTAAATGGGAATGGTAGTTATTTGGTACATGCGTTATCATTTGATCATCACAACCACCCTATAAATTAGGGTGCTATTGTTATCCTCATTTTGCAGATGAAGAAACTGAGGTTGAGAGATGGTAAGTGACTTGCCTGGCATCAAACAACTAATGTCTGAGACATGATTTGAATTCACATCCTCCTGACATCAGGTTCAACATTTCCCCCTTCCCCCTTCTAGCTAGCTAGCTAGTTGCTTTTTAAATCTGGACCTGTGATTGGTGTATAGAACTCACAGTGAGGAAACTCCCTCTACCATTGCTGACATAACATCTTCGTTTCCTGGGATTGGAAGAGGTTAAGTCTTGCTTAGGGGTCAGGTGACCACTTTGTGTTAGAGGTGGAATGTGAACCCAGGTGTCCTTGACTCC